TAAATACATAAAATCGAAAAATATAGATACGTCTGTATCTCACCGTTATATAATGCCTTGAGTGAGCACTCGTCCTAAATCTGCAATGAATCAAACAAGGCTTTATATACGAGAGTGAGCATTCGTCCTAAATCTGAAATGAATCAAACAAGGCTTTATATACGAAGTTCACACACATTTTTTTTTAGAAACACACTTCATAACTCCAAGTTATTTTTAAATAACGGGATATTCACAACCGAAATAACTTGGAAACCCACTTTCAAAATTACTATGAACTGAAAATTCATGTTAAAAGCAGGTGATATCCGAAGGCTGTTTGTTACAAGAACCTTCTCCAAACACAAATAACGCAACAGAAAAAGTATAGGAATGAAGCATACTGGAAAATATAATGTAATATATCAAGACATCAATTCTCTTACTCTGCTCAAAGCAAATGACAGCTCGTCTCATCCTGTATTTGAGACATCATACATTGTATTTGTCCCCATGATGTCCGACGTTAACATTCCTTTGCATATTAAAGTATTTATAATTTCAGCTGTTGGTCTTTAGGTGTCTTGTTTCACTGTTAAAACTAAGGTAAGAACACATAAAATAGATAATACTTTAATCTTTAAAGGCGATGAAAGCGTGAAATGTGCTCCTATAGGCAGTGGCGCCGCGCTGTCTCGCACATGATAACAAAACGTCGCCACAGACCAGAACTTCAAGGTTTATTTATTTATTATTTTCAAGGAATAGGCACTGCACCGTGGAATCTATTTTTTAAGTTAGCGGAGATCTCGCAGTGGTAACTCCCCACCAAACAGAACCATTAACCAACCACATTAGGATTCAACACGTACAGAACGTCTGGACAAAGTCTGTTACTCGTATCCCGTTCATTCTTAAGACGCAAATATAGATTTGCGGATATCTGCCACTCATTCCGTATTTCATTGTGATGCAAGTCTCGACATTTAACGTCACGACGTAGCAACTGAGACTCACTTAAGAAGTCCCGGCTTCGAAATTGGGTCTATATAACGACTACACTGCCCTCTTGTTTCGAGTTCTTAAGACATATTTAGAATCTCAGCCTGCCATCACCAGCTCCGTTAAGTATTTGGGGAATTTTGGTAAACTTTGACCTGCGTTATATGCCATTACCTGTCGTAAAAACATGGTGTTTCGTAAAATGACACGATGTCCACACTGACTTTTATGCAAATTCGTCATTTCACTGGAAATATTCGGGCGTGTTACATATAAAATTCCTTGACAGGGAAATTACCTAAGAGTCCATGGTCATGCTAGTACCAACTCAGCTTGTCAAATGCTGACTTGAGTAATTTGACAACGAACACAGAATAAACCAAAGCAATAACAAACATTTGTAAATGTTCTACAATAACAATTATAACGATTAGCTAACACACCACGCAAAAAGCAGATTGGCAGTAATATTTAAGTAGTAAACCGTTTCAATTGGTGAAGAATTAGGTACCCAACAGCATAATGAATACAGTTTAGAGCCTTGCAGTTCTCTCCTGATAAGTACAAAGTGGTACGCGGAAAGTACAGGGAGCTTAAGAAATTAGTCTACTAAGTATGAAGACTGACATTGTCCACATTACCTCTGCAAGCTAAACAGTAACGAGAAATACGAATACGAGCTACCTGTTCCGGCAGTCCCGTTGGGTTCTCTAAGCATAAACGCGACTTACAGCCATAAGCATTACAGATTGAACCAGGGCTGTGGAATCTGAAGCAATTTTAGGTGAAGTCGGAGTTGGTAAAAATGTACCGACCCCGACCTCGATATAAAATCTTAAGAACACTTTCGCTACCTTAACCAACCTAACCTAAAATAACCCAACCTAATCTAACCCAACCAGATTCCTACAGTTCTCTACGTATATGCGTGAGAAAATAGTATTTTTAATGACATTGAAGAGTTTGAGGCCTCTAATTCTCAAACAGTTTGCGTCGTATTGTCGGGGTCTTGACATGACCTTGACCTAACCGTGACCTCATCTTGACATGAGTAGGGTCAACCAGGTATTTACGGTTTGGCAGAAATAAGCGTGAAAAGATATTAAATTGAGAATTTTAAAGACCTGTATCTGGCAAACTATTGGGCCGATCTTATCCTGACTTCCATATATCCTTGATATATACGTAACCTCATCTTGACATGAGTATGGTCAACCAGGTATTTACGGTTTGGCAGAAATAAGCGTGAAAAGATATTAAATTGAGAATTTTAAAGACCCCTATCTGGGAAACTAGTGGGTCGATTTTGTCGTGAATCCTTATGACTTTGACCTAAACGTGACCTCATTTTGACATATTGAGCTTTTATGAAGGAGTCGAGTCGGAGGTTTTAATACCGACTCCACAGCCCTGGATTGAACACTTACACGTGAATCGATGATTTCACAAACAAGATTTGACATGAATCACAATTTTTTATCAGACAAAGAAGACTGTGGACTGTTGCTGTAATTATCATTTCTGTTTACATTAAGTACCATTTTCAGAAACAGCAGTCATTGACAATTACGATTAATCGGATTTTTGATATTACATAATAGACTTTTTTTTAAATCTCCACTAGCTCATTTATTATACTGTTACTATTTACTTCTTGGTTACTTCATTATTGTTTGAGGAAAATTAATTTTGTATTCTCTTTTATTTGATAATTCAGTAGTCTACAACTTCCGTGTTAAACACGCAATTAATAACTTGTTAGAATAATTCAGCACACTGTTACATCAGCTCCTTAAGCAACTTAAGATAAGCAAGGTAGGAATAAGCATGCGTGAGCAGAGTAAGTAAGGGATTTAACTTTCAAATATAATACAAAACAGTCCGTCCAATCAAATAAGGATCCTTACATAACATCAATAAATCAAAATAATGCTGTCTTTCAGTTTGTTTATATTTACCTGTTTTCAAAATTAATTCCAGACCTTTCACTGAGGACAGCTTGCCTACAGAACCACTGCTCAAAACCTGTCTGCGTTGAAATGCTTCCTTTCCTATCAAACTCCAAAACAAACTAACTGTGGGCGGCCGCCCTGTTTGCCAGGTCTGCCAACTCACATCGACAACAGACACAGCGAGTCAATGACTAATAAGGTTTCTGTTCTCGGTCGAGAACCCGCCGACTGAGAAACGCAACAGAGACAAAAAAAAATCACGTGATTTCTTCACACAGGATGAGAATTGAATTTCAATTTGAATTTGAATTACATTTGAATTTCATAACGATACGAGTTATGGAAATGTCACCTCGGTCTTCGGGAGAATTTCTGACAGACTTTCGGTGCATAAATCGCGGATTCAGTCGCAAACGTCTCACAATTTTTTCGTCTCTTTTCCGAATGTGCTGTTAAAATATCCTGGGTTATAATCAATGGGTCAAGCCAATGCGTCTACACGTCCAGTTTTTTCGAACTGCAGGGCATTATTAAACTAAGTCAGTTTGGTCGCGGGTAAGTCATTTGATACACTTAAGGTACAATTTGGCTGCACGCGACAGAGACAAGCGACCGAGGCAGGCGACAGAGACGGGAGACGGACACATCGCAGCTTGTCGCCACACACTTTTGAGGTGACGACCGAGACATGCGGCAAAGTGTTTGTTTTCTTTGTTTTGTTGAGACATACGTGCACATATTCTGTGAAAAATGAGTACAAAAATGCTTCTAAAAAGGTTACTCGAAGAAGAAGAAGATTAATTTCTGCCATTATTTTACTCAACAACACACGTGCTGCCTGAGCCCGTCGCGAGACACTACTGGTCCGAGAGCGGTCTCCTGTGCTTTGTCTCTGTCGCCTGTCTTTGTCTCGCGCTCGTAATTGTACAGAGAGCAGACAGGAAGCGACCAGTCTCGGTCTCGTAACTCTGTCGCCTGCCTCGGTCGCGTGCAGCCAAATTGTACCTTTACGTATACTAGGGTTTGTAACATGTTTAATGCCGTCTGAATAATCGGGTACTTGTCTCAACATCCGAGTTGTAGCAACAAGACGTGTATATGTCAACATCAACGTAATGCATACACATTTCAAATCCCATTATTCATTCATTCATTCATTCATTGAAAATCTCTTCTTGTAACTCAAATCTCTGCACAGTAATCACTTATTTCTATTCCTATTTCATTACATATTCGCCATATTAAAAAGTGTTTCCAGTAAAAACTGCAGAACTTAATTAAATATCGAAGTGATTTATCAATATTACATTTGAAGATCTGTTTCACAGAAGATCATTAAAGTTGAATGCGAATCTCTTGTACAGCAGAGTTCAATACGAAATCGGACTCCGCAGACCAGATTTTAAAACACAATTTAATTTCACAAGTAGACGACAATTGAAGACAGTTATTTAACAGCCAGAACAACTGTCCTTCAATACATCCCTGCTTGGCAGAACGTTATAACGAAGAACATTCGACAATCGTGCGCATTTCTTTTGGTCTTAGAGGCTAATATTCAGTGCCTTCTTGTAACTGATTGTATGGCAAGATAACACGAAGGTTATATAGTTACTCCAAAAGTTGCATCCCTAAGTAATATCATACCGGCCCGTTCTTTTTCTTCCAAAAAAACTCACATTTCCCATTAATTTCACGACTAGTTCAGATCATCTACACCTATTTCTTGTTTCATGCCTCTGAGTTGCAAATATTTTCATTACCACTCCAAAAACTTCTGCAGTTTCACAGAAATAAACGCTTTTTTTTATAATGGTTACTCAGTTTATCAAACGCACGTGTGGCATGCTAGCGAATTTCCCGCTTCTAATGGCGGGAACGCTCTCGAGATACCACCGAGGCCACATAAGAGGCAAACTTTCGACCCTGACGTCTCGTAACACAAATGATTTTATTTGTAATTTATATTCTTAGAGTTTCAGGAGACGTGAATATTCCATTGCATATTCTTAGTTACAAACCTTTAACTGAGTAGGCCAAAAATAACGTGAGTTTCTACTTTGTCCCTAAATTACTTTAAATAAAATATATTAATATAATTATTAGTTCATGCTACAGAATTACGTTCTCTGCATAGTAATCGGCTGTAAGAAAAGTAACATTAGGGGCTGGAAAAGAACCCGCTAATACGTTTATAGATCATAAACTTGAAGGGCAACGTTCAAAGGACACCAAAACATCAGTGAGAGGAGAATAATAAAATAAACCTCTGAGAAACATTCCAGTTTTAACGAAAACCTTAATGTTCTTCACCATCTATCCCTAAGCCGAGCCAACACACACAAACGCTATATTACAGGTCATTGTATTTGAGGTAAATAGACATATGAATAACGACGTACGAAAACCTGGAAAGAACGCGATAAGTTAATCTGCTCATCTGTTACATTTTTACCATTTCCCAATCCTGCTTTCTTGTCGTGTTTGTACATCCCCGACCTTCGGCAAATTACGTACGAAGGAAACACAAACATCGAACATGTTTAAAATATTTTCATTACTCGGACATATTATTATCAGTTATTTAATTAAACAGCATACATTCAGCAATGGTACGATCTGGCACGTACAAAATCTTTAACTCAATATTTACTCATTAATGGCGAAATATATCCGCAAATAACTTAACCTTTTCAAAGTAATTCCGCCAGATAATTTTTATATCAGCAAAAACTACATGTGGTAAATATACTTACCAAAACGCAGGAACTCACGGTGTAGTTGAAAGGAGTCTTGCATCTTATTCCGGAGAGCACAGCTTCGAATCTCCGCCCGGAGACAGAATACTGACTTTTTCATGGTTTTACACAGTCACTACTGGGACACACCGAACGGTTTCTCCCGCATACTTTGCAATAAGTAACTTACAACGAATCTACCATTCGGTGTAATATAAACTATGTAGTTGAAAATCGTCATTAAATAAACGATCAAACTGCTTACTCAAAAAAGTGTCATTAACAAGAAATAATCAATTACAATGACGAATAAACAAATATGGTCTCCAAAATTTAAACAAATAGTGAACTGTACCCTACCTGGAACTTCAAAATTTTTTTTAGTGTTTTACTAAATTACACTTCTTATGTTTGGCTTCGAAGGGGAGTCCCACTCAACGATTTAAATTATGAGTTGCATACAGTCTTCTACCAGTAAAAATTATCGCACGTTTAAATTATGAGTTGCATACTGTCTTCTACCAGTAAAAATTATCGCACGATGTACACATTTTTAAGATGTCACACTGCATGCCATGAGATTCCGACGTTTCGGAGGAACTTCCTACATCTACAGAACTGATAAAAAAGATTTAAATGTGTGAAGTAAGTATGAAGGTGGGTTGTCAGTCCTGATTCAACGGTTCGCGGATCTGGGTACTCCAAGACCACAAGCTCACTGCTCTGGGTTTCAAAAAATCAGTACATAAAAATGGGACAACATTTTTGGAAAACGTAGCACAAGAGAGGAAACAAAGCCTCCTGTGGCGAAATTCTTTAATCGTATACAGTACCTTCAAAAGGTTACGCAAATATATGAATGGAGTGGAGAAAAAACACATTTCGTTCACGCAGACGGAAGTAAATTTTAAGTAAATGTCTTGTCCCACAACACCTCTTCAGTTTATTACAGCAGAATAATACTTTCTTGTACGGTTTCCGGAGACATTTCACTCTGCCAATTATACACAGTCGTTGAACATTTTGTTACACACCCTGTAAGCCGAATGTTTCATAACACTACGGAAAACAAGTGACACAATTAGGACGGCAACATTACAAAGAAAATATCCCTTTCCACTTCTTCCTTCACTTATTTAAACATTGCTCGTTTAAAACATGAGATGAATAAAAAGTTAATTTGCCAAGTATTTGCAACTGCCTCTAAACAAGATACTGATGACGTAATACGATCTGGTGGCATACGTCTCCAGAAACAATTGAACCATGACGTAGTCTGGGTGGCTATGAAAACTCGAGACAACAAAATTAAGTACGCAACGCAACCAATTTGAACCGCTTCCAACCGATTTACAAACTTCCACACTACCCTGATAGTTCTGCTCAAAAGTTTGATTCCACGCAATGTGACACCCATTGGTATCTAAATTTAAAATGTTCAAAAAAGTCAGCCAGGAAATATAAAGTTAAAAAAGCGTATAAAAGTACTGTATAAATTAACAGCCAGTGGTTTTCAACCTGGGGTACGGGTACCCCCGGGGGTACGCGATGACATTTAGAGGGTACGTGAAATTTTTTAAAAAAAATTATTTTACGATAAACACTGAATAATCAGTAATGTAATTTATTTAATTTATTTTAGATGTAGATTATATACTATGTATAACTTGAATTATACACCAACAACTTTGGGGGTACAAAGTTGAAGAGAAATTATATCTGGGCGTACGCGAACAAAAAAGATTTAATATCACTGCTCTAAACTGTTACCCCAAAGTTAAAGTCCAACAAGCAGCATAATATAGGGGTTTAAATTACCCTATTACAGTTCGAAAAAGGTTGAAACCCATGTTTTTCCACAGCCTGCAGTAATATTTTAAATATCCCTTTGAACTCTACAGTAACATTTTGAAAACACGCGACCGGAAAAGGTTGAATTCCATTGGTATAGAGGAATCGTGATATGTTCAGGAAATATGCAGCCTGATAAAAATAATTTAAAAAATTCACGCAGAGTGTAAATAATTTCGGCGGGTTCGCTAGAAGATGATCTTTGACCTTTAACCGAGGTGCCTACAGTAACCAAAGCAATCAACCAATCAATGTTACCTGGGGATCCCCTCCCCACCCGCATCTGTGCTCGGAATTGCACGTAGATATTAATATAAAGCGTGATACTGATTTTTTTTTCAAAATTATATCGACAATTCTCGATAAAAGTTGCCAATATAAAATTTCATGATAACCTAATCAGCCAATGTTTTACGCGAATAACACTCGCATCGTAGAGGCGGTCGCATTTAAAAACAATAAATATTATTGATACGTCAGAGTTTTACGGTACTACACAGACTGAAAACATCAAGCAGTTAAGAGTAGCGTGTAGTGAGCGCACCTCTAATGTGTTCTGTGGGTGTTGCGATAATATTCTAGATTAA